CCAACACCAATCCTTCCTCTCACAATTAAAACAAAAAACACTCAAAAAAAAAATCTATAGTTTTTGTCAATGATAATTTAATGCTGTGATGCCTGAGGGGCATCAAAACAATATAATATTCAGTATGAGCTATTGGTAACAATTCATTTTGAAGAGAAAGTTGAATACTTGAGATGAGAAAGTCCCTACAATAAAGCTGGGACCTGTATTATAGAGGAACACTCTTTAAGAAATAGAGCTCTTTAAAAAGTTGCTTTTGAGTTGGTGCTTGATGATAGCAAAAGCTAAAAGGCAGAAATGAGCATCCATGAACAAATATTTAATACTAATCAAATATATCCAACATCAACTGATATAAAATTAAATTAAATAAAATGTCTTTCCAGGTGCAAAAACCTACGTTTGCTAGGTTAGAAACTGATTAGGCATCATTCATGGCCAGAGAATGAACAGCAAATGATAAATAATGCTCTGAAGTTTAATAGTGATGGTTAGGGGCTTATTTAAATCCCAAAAGTGAGTCTAGCCTTATCAAACATTAATAAGACAAAGGCAGCAGACAGACTGTGATCCTAAATGTGCCAAACCTACTTTTTCCTGTTTAGTCTGCAAGTTAATCGTTGTGTCAAAGCTAATATTAGTTATTCATTAATCTAATGGTAACCAAGTAAGCAGTCTGGAGGGGACAGAGCACAGTTAAGGAAGCCAAATGCCCTCTGAGCCTAAGCGGAATCTACAGATTGCCATTATGAGCTGTCATTTGCTCAAAGGCATTCAACCCTTGAACTCTCCCCACAGATTTGCTCGGAGAGAACCAGCAGGCCCTACGCGGGTACAGATCAAAGATTAGAGGCCATGTTCGAGGACTCCACCCTGCCAAGCATATCTCTCTTTATCTCCCTCTCTCTGCCTCTGCTACACATGGCAGAAAAAGTGTAGCCCTGAGGCGAAAAGCTTTCTCCAAACCTGTGGTGAATGCTAATGCAGTCCCTCTACAAGTTTTGCCACTCCCATCTCTCAAACTTTCATCACAGCAGCAGCAGAAGTGTTTGTGTACGCTTTATAATTCCACTGATGGGGTGAGAACATTGACATAGCACCCTTTTAATATTTCCTGCTGAACATAAAAAGCCAAAAGGATGGTATTGAGCAGATAGATAACTACATTCGCTACCTCAGAAAAAAACATCTCTGAATATGAAGAACTCACTTGAATCTTTTTCGGTCCTTCTGAAGATTTGAAATTACTTCAAAGACCAATTAGGTACGTAGCGTAGTACTCTGCGCAGCCTGTTTCCCTGAGGAACTGTATGTATCCATGTCCTATCTCACTTCAGACATTTCCTCTAGGGCTGGGTGAAAATACAGATTTTCTGATTAATCTCCATTTGAACAATCAAGATGGATCTTTTACTCTCTTCTTATTTTCAGTGGGACATGTCACTCTGCTGAACACACTCAATTGCATAGTTCTAGTCACAAAAAATGACTAGATTCACCACCAAATGGCTCTTAGTTTGATTCATGAACAAATGACTTTGAACTGGTTCTTTTCTATTGAATGGCACTAAAAAGCATTTACAATCACTGAATGGCAAAAAATGACATTAGCAGTTTAAATCATTATGAAACCGCTCTGTATAATTTATAGCATCTGCAAACAGGGAATTTATTACATACTAGGGTTGTGACGGTGAGGAAATTTTCCCACCGGTTAATCGACGCGTGACAACACCGGTAATACGCCGGTAATCAGCGTTGGGGGCGGGGGGGGGTTAGTTAGTTTGAGTTTCCCTCTTTTCTTCGCTTTCAAATGGCTTGTAAAAGTGCCGTGTGCATTTTACTTTCACTTTCAAATTAGCGGCAATTGAATTGCCGCAATTCGGCGTTAAGCAATTGTTCATTTGAGTTTTCCCTCTTTTCCTCGGATTTCTTGGCTTTCAAATAGCTTGAAAAAGCGCTGTGCGCGTTTTACTTACACTTTCAAATTAGCGGCAATTCGGCGTTGATTCAATTCAACGTCAACCTCAGAACTTTTATTAACAAAACGAATAAAAATACACCATATATGCCTAATAAAATAACAAATTACTTAGGCTACACAAAGTTTAAATAGGTATATAAAACTGAAAATCAGCAAACACTGTGGAACCAAATAAATAAGAAACATAGAACGTTTATTAGCAAAACGAATAAGAAAGCTTGGAGGCACGGCATATACACCTTGATGTAAAATAAAATAAATAAAATACACAAAGTTTAAATAAAGTAGTCAGCAAACACTGTGGAACCAAATAAATAAGAAATGAACATTTAAAAAAAACTTTCAGTCAATATTCTGCAATCTTCTGCCATCGTCTTGTCTTTCTCACCTCACTCTTGTCAGTCAGCTCGACTCACTCTCCTCACATGATAAATAAAATCTGACTCCTGCTCCGTGGTGCACTATCGTTCGCGTACGGTTCGGCACGCTGCATTGAGCGTTTAGTTTTTAAAAGTGTCTGTCCTCTAACTGAACTAGGCTAAATGATTTTTGTTACTATAAAAAAATCAAAACGACGGTGGGGGGCGGTGCCGCGGTAGGCAAATGACGTAACCGGTGTTGCGGCTTAACACCGTTATAACCGAAAACACCGTCTATCGCAGCAAGCCTATTACATACGCGAGCAAAATGGACATTATAACTGAAATAAAAACAAATTACACAAGTTGCCACATGTTAAAGTTGTTCTTCAGAGTTCAATCAACCAACCAGGAGGAAAAGCTGGAAGCAGCTTCTCTCATGGCTCCATCACATTAACCTCTTTACTAGCAAACATATGACTCATACCCATAAGAGCCACATATTCCCCATGCTACATTGCTCATGTGATTCAAATGATGCAGATGTGGTAAAGGTGGTAAATGAGCTCTACCGAACTGTGCCAGTCCACTAGATTTGTGATGCTGATGTGCTATCATACGGTGACCGAGAAGTGCGAAGCAAATCACAATTCTGAAAACAAAATAACAAATTACAAACGCAAATGCAAGTCTAAAAAACAAAATAACAATTCAGAAAGCACAACAACAATTCAGAAAACATTATAACAAGTCAGAAAACACAATGACAAATTCGAAAACAAAATAACAAGTCAGAAAACACAAAGACAAATCCGAAAACAAATTAACAAGTAAAAAAACACAACGACAAATCAGACAAACCGGAAAAGGTAGGTATAGTTTGAGACAGCGCCATTGGTTTGGGATTACTCACCGCTGACTGGACGAGACATCTGTCAATCAACGTATACAGGAAGAACCAGCCGAAGAACAACAGAGTCGTGGTAGAAAGTTCGGAGATGGTATTAAAGTAGCTCAGTTTAAATGTATTGTATGAATTGCCCTTACTATGGAATAAAAAATACGGAGTGTATATTTACATTTAGTTAAAAGTGACTGAAAATCATAAGCTCCAGTGGCGCAGATGGATAAGCGCATGTCGTTGGCTTTTTGGCGCGATTGACCCGGGTTCGATCCCTTTTGCCGAACTTTTTTTCCCTCCCTTTTCAAATCTCGTATTAGCAATGGATTCTATTTACACTAAGTGAAAATAGCACTATTTTTAGCAATATGCTATTTACACAGTGCAAATACCTATTTACACTATGTTAAAATAGCAGGATTTCTACTATCAAGTATACTACTTGTTGCAAATAGTGGCAATTATCTGCACTTCAGTATTGTAGTACATTATAAAACAGTATGCAATAATAACGTATTGAGTGTAAATTATAATTTTAATTTTAATTATTAAATGGATGCCACCTTATTGGTACAATAAAGCCCTCCCTACACCTACCCTAACCCTACCCGATACTTTATTTTCAACTTTTTGATTATTTCCTTAATTTTTATTGAAAATAAATGCCTTTACGATGTGATACGAGATTTGAAAAGGGAGAAAAAAAAAGTTAAAGGCGGGATCGAACCCGGGTCGATAGCGTCAAAAAGCCAACGACA